ATACACAAAAAAATACAAGATTTAATATCGAGGGAAATGTTATATTTATTTAAGTGATAAAATGGAAGCAAACTCTATAACCAGCAGATGGAGCCACATGCTTTGTTCTGAAATAATTACATTTTTTCATTAGTTAGCTTTTAATGTAAATATATTAAGGTAATTTTTAAAGAGTGCAACTACTGCTTCAAATGCATACTGTTACACACGTTCAGCTGCACAATGTGCATGTGTGATGTGACATACATGAGTATCTTTGTTAAGAAAATGCAGTCCATTCAGATTGACAGCCAGGATGCAGGGGGCGTGGATGGACGCCGAGCTGCAGCTCTGAATGTAGAAGAAGGAGGAGCCAAACATGGGGAAGGCACTGACCAGACCTGGGCAAAAAACACACGAAGGGTCACTTTTAATAAGCTAGCACACTCATTGTTCTGAGGAAGATGTTTTTACTGAAATATTTTTACTGAGCAAAATTTCAATACTTGGAATTGATCATTATTAATATAGGCTTCTATGGAGGTCCAGTGCGTAACATTTAGAAGGATTTATTGTCAGAAACTGAATATAATAGGTATATTTTCATTAGTGTATAATAATAAAATCATAATCTTTATGTTTTGTTATGTTAGAATAAGTTGTTTTTATCTACAGACGCCTTTGGTCATCTTCCATGGAGGCCACCATGTTTCTACAGAAGCTCAGAATGAAGAAACCAAACACTGGCTCTAGATACGGCTGTTCGCAGCCACCCTTTCTCGCACTTGGAAAGGGAAGGTCAATCGAGTGAGTTCCAATCTGCAACTGCACTGATAGATGCCATTAAATCCTACACAGTGGACCTTTAAGTCACTCTCAGAAATACACACACTCACAAAGAGGTGTCTTACCAAGGAACTGTGCGCGGGCCTGGTATGGGTTTAAGGGCTGGACTTGCTGCATGTGTTGAGTTGTCATATTCAGCCACGGCTGTGAACCCTGTTTGCTGTAGAACGGTGAGGGGACACACTCCTGCACCTCCCGGCTAAAAACACACACAAAGTGTTAGTTAGGGAGCAAGCATTCATGGTACTGTGACGTGCCAGGGATAAAAGCGTCCAACAAATGGTCTGTTGTAATTGAATGCTTTATGTTGATGTGTGTGTATATTTACAGGGTGGGCAGGTAGATAGTGTCCTTGGCACGGTGCTGTAGGGCAGCCAGTCTGGCGATCTGCTGCATATGCTGTTCACTGGGTTTACCCTGAGGAACTACACTCAGCAAGGCCTTCAGGTAGTCTGGCAACACCTTGAGCAGAGACACAGAGTACAGTTTTGTCTGTTTTTATTTTCATTTATGTTTCTGCTCTTTTTGTGACAGAAAATTTAAAAATGTTGACACATCTTCCTTGTCAGACTGTGCCAGTTGCAACCTTGAAGTGAAGTCTGTGCTGTTACAAAACTAGCAAAGCAACAAATGATGTCAGCCAGTGGTGGAAGAAGAAATATGTTACCAAAGTAAAAGTAGTTTTACAGCAATGTTAAAATACTCCATTACAAGTAAAAGTCCTGCATGAGAAATCCTACTAAAAGTACACAAGTATTAGCAGCAAAATGTACTTAAAGTATTAAAGTAAAAGTACTAATTTCTGCTATATTAAATACAGTATTTGCCACTATTCAATTGTTAATATTGATGCATCAGTGTGTACTGTAGCGTAGTTACTGTTGTAGCTGGTCAAGGAGGAGCTACTTTTACCTTCTTTATATACAGCCAGGTAGTTTATTTCAGTGGTTCTCTTGTTTTGGGAAATTGTTTTAAATTGTTATTCAGATTAGACCATGTGAGACATTAACAACTTTGCTGTGAGCAGAAACAGGACATCATCCATCCTTTAGTTCACACAGTAGATCTCTACCTGATTATAGTGCATGGTGACATAGAGTTCGTTGTCAAGTTTGAGCGCCATACTCCATATGACTCTTCTGAACCACAGACTGTAGTTGGTGTCAACCGGCTCTGCCTCTGTAGCAATGTCCAGTATGTACTCGCGCTTGTTCAGGGGACGCACATTCTGCCCTACACAGAAACACACTTCCGTTATTATTTGTTTATCTGTAGTGTATTGCTGTATGTTAAGAGGCCTCGCATTGTAGTCCTAGTTTCTATGAGAAGCTACATCCTTCTAACCTCTGTGTGTGACCAAAAAGACAGCATATTCATCCAAAGCCTCTGCCCTGTGTAGTCCCATCTCATAGCAGAGCTCCTCGATGACATCCAAAGCAACCTGAAATAAAGAAATCCTCATCATGTTGACCCACAAATGCAGCATCTGTTTTTCGTTATGTCTAAAAGCTACAGTCAGTCCAACTCCTGCTACTTCCTGATTGGTCTAATAAAGCTGCTCACTGGTATGATGCTTTTCTTTAGAACTGATACAATCATTTCATTGAATGTGTGTGTGTGTGTGTGTGTGTGCACTCACAGAGCACGTCTTGATTTTTAAGTGCCTTTCGATCCCACCTGGCAGCAGGAACAGCTGTCTCTTGGAGCTCCGCCCAGCCTGCACACAAACAACCAATCAGAGGGAGACGTCACAGCAGTCAACACCAGCAGGGGCTGCTGTTACTGAGAGCAGGAAACCAGCTGCCAAACACTTTAATATGACAAATGCCATAAGTAGAAAAGTATCGATCCTACTATAGTATTAGTAATCCTAAAACTTGGATTTTAAAACTAAAATCTAAACATTTGTGCTTAATTTTAATCAAACATGTAAAAAAAAAAGTGATACATTTTATTTTTATATATAAAATGCTGATGTATCATTACAATACAGTGTGGATATATTGATAACATCTCTTTTTGTATTTTCCTCTACACTGAACAAAGTATTCCATCCCACTGTACAGCAATCATTACATTATTAGTTCCTTAAATCATTTGCCTTGTGGTTTCCTTTTTGGTTTGGTGCACATTTTAACACTTTAAACAGGTTAAGCCAGGTTAAGTCAAGCCACATAAGAAGACTGAATGGACAAATAAGTGACTAACCAGCATAGCTTTGAGCTCCATGCTGTTGGGATACTGTATGCGACCGCCATACTGAAAAGTCCTCCTCAGATTCTGCTCACATGCCTTGGCAATACCTGTCAGTTAAGAGCAGCAGCCACTCAACACTTAGATCAATGGTACCTAAGAATAGCATCAGGCTGGCAGTGATGGATTAATGAGTGTAAAGTGTTAGTCTGTGGATACCTTGGTACTGCATCCCGGGGGTTGCACAGGCGTCCTGCAGAAACTTCAACAGAAACGGCTTCATAACATCAGAGCAGCGATGGAACGCCGTCAGGATGTACAACAGCCTCCATCCTCTCTGACAACTGTCCCTACACACAGATATACAAACAAAGCTATGAATTAAAGCCTCTCCATGGCCGCACTAGCACTGATTAAGTCCTCAGTCAGCATGTGAACTAAAATGTCTTACGGTTTGGAGCTGGTGTTGGCAGTAACTTGCTTCATCACCTGGCAGTAGGCTTCATCCTTTATCAGACCATGCTCGCCACTTAACTACATTTTTGAGCACATTTGAATAAAGCTTGTAAAAATACACACAAATACAGTTTGTTTCAGGCTTATTGTTATTTATTATATTTTATGTGCTTATAAAATATGTGAAATTGTGTGTGTTTTTGTGTGTGTACCTTCAGTATAGTAGTGACCAGGTCCTGCTCAGTCAGACCTTTCATCGGGAAGTCTCCCATGAACTTCATTATAGCTGGACAGAAACAACCAGTCAACATGGAATACCATGCAAACAAATGAGCTCATAAAACTGATCTGTAGACGTGTATTTCTTTCTACAAAACTATCCACTTCAAAATAATAACATCTGTAACCACTGACTGCTTATCTACTTTCCTCTTCTACCTCATATCTGTATCCATCCCTCCTCTCTCACCTAAGAAGATATCAGCAGCCACTCTGTTCATCCCACTGTCAGAGAAGTCGATCAGAGACTCCTGGATTGGAGACTGGAGAGACAGGAACATTACAAGGAAGAAATATAACACACACAATATTGTTAGAAAACAAAAGACATGAACATTTTTTATCTTGACCCCACTTTTTTTTACCTTGGAGAATTTGACCATGTCGACAGGGTCCCTGCCCTCCTTCCCCTTTTTGGCTTTCTGATCACTGTGGGCAAAACACAGCCAGCAGGCATTTGTCTCAGGAAAAGTAAATATGAGCTGAGGACATTTTAATACATGTTCACATTATTTTGGCAGTACGTTGTGTGTCTGACCTTTTGTTCCTCTGTGCCTCTCTAAAGTACTTCTTGGCAAACTCAGCCATGTGGTACTGGCCGCTGTGCAGAGGCAGATCGTCCAGCTCGACGCTCACACTGTCTCCATACATCTCATTTACTACCTGATACACACACACAGCGGTAAAAAGTTAAGCAGCAGTGCCACTTAAAGGAACACCAAAGATGTAATTATCTACAGAATATTTCCATTTCTGCAAACCAAAATATTCCAGCATATACAGTATAAACAGCAGCTGATGCCATAATATAGGGGTATTGTTCATGCTGAAATCTCAAATGTATGCTTGCTCGGAGCCTGGTGTTTTATTTCCTGATGCACTGTGGAAGCTGAAAATAAGCATCACGTATCTTTTTTGGACAGTAGATTATAAATATTCTGCTGTAACGTGATAAAACAACTTCTGCACCTCCGTGGAGAGGTCAAGCTCATGGGCAGCTACAGCTGAGCCCATCGCCACGGCGATAGCAGCGGATGCAGCCACTCGTCCCTGTCTGTCTCGAGGCTCCACGCGCTCAGCAGGGAGAACCAGGAAGTCCGGGGCAGCCACAGGACGGACGTAGTCACTGGGAAACACTCCTGATTTTCCATACACAGCCCCAAACCGCCAGCCTATATACACCCAGCAGAAGATATGTACACTGAGAGGTTCATATGCAACAGAAAAAAACACATCAAATGTTAAAAACAAACCCAAAACTGTCACATGCGAACGCAGAAAAAGTCCAAAGTGATGTCTTCAAATGTTTTGTTGTGTCCAACCAACAAGACAAAATCCAAAAATAATGTTTTTTAATTTTTATTTTTCAGCTTTTAAGACAAAGAACCAAATTTTCTATTCTCCTTAAAAAGGCCAGGGACACAGAAGTTAAGGCTCTAATGAAAAGAACAAACCAAAACCCACCAGTAAAAATAAAACACACACACACACACAAACACAACAGAACCCACCAAACTCAGGAGTGTCTCTCTTTAGCTCCTCCAGAAGCATGACCTTCTTCCTCACTACGCAGCCGTAATGTTTGCCTGAACACACACACACACAGTGTGACAGACATGGCATAAAGCACAGAAAAGCGGAGACATACTGTACAAGGTTCACAGAGGCAGAAAGCAGGTCTACAAAGATATCACTGTGCGAGCATGAGTTCATGAGTGTGCGTCTCACCGGCCTCCAGCCCGTCCATGTGCTGCAGTCTGATGATGTCTCCTTTGTGGAAGCTGAGCAGACTCCTGTCCTCAGTAATGTAATTCCTTACTGCCACCACATACTCTGAGTCCTGACAGAGACATGACTTGTTTGACACTGAACATGTTGCAAAATAACCAGTGGTCCAAAAACGTATCATCACATTCCTTTCTGTCATGATTCGTATTACTGCAATTGTACATTTGTTTGTAATGCATTACTGTCCCTAAATTCAGTAACCACATTACAATAACCAATCATTACTAATCAAACAATTATGTCTTTACTTGCATAAATACATAAATTCTTCAATCATCTGCATAATGAACAGATGGAAAAAGCAACAATCGCCTGAGTGACTTATTTTTTTTAATCTTTTGATGAGAAGGATAAAGTTAGCTTGAACTCTGATACGGAAGACATTGAATATTTGAAGTCGGGTTAGAGATGGACATCCTAACCGTTTCCGTAACATATCCAAAATATCGCCTGTGGAGAGGCGCTTCAGCCTGAGCAGTCTTGCTGACTCTAACAAAAGATTCAAGAGACTTCCCTGATGGGCTATAACCACTGCTTCAGTGATAAACATGTCAAATAAGCTGGAATAATCTAAAAAAGTCAATCTGTCTTTTGTGATTCCCCAAATGTCCTTCCACCTTCCACCAAATATTCTGAATTCAACAAGCTTGCCATGGCACACAGCTGTTTAGCTGATGTCAAAGACTGGATCTCACACAGCTTGCTGCAGTTAAACTCTCTTTCTAAATTCAAGTTAAAATCAAGCAGTTGTCCAGTAATACATAATAACAGATCACCCTGTTAATATGTATTACTGGACTACTGTTCAGTCATGCTAATGCTTTATTTTATATTTCTATCATAGCATCATGTTTAACCCCTTTTGCTTTGTATGGTTTTATTTAGCTGTTTTATCTGCCACATGGATCTCATTATTGCACTTATTATTGCACTGGATTTCCCCTTATACTCTGAGGTTGTAACAAAATGCATGCTTATTATAAAAGTGCTGTATAAATTAAACTATTATAATTATTGGTGTCAGAATATAACCAATGCATGGTGGCAAATACCAAAATTTTGAGATATTAAACTTTTGTTGTTTGACCAGCAGATGTCTTCTCATATTACCCATGAACACACATAAGACTGATAACACCAAAAGCCTTGTATGTATAGTCACACAGACGCCCTCTGACCTTCTTAATCTCTGTGAGGAAGTAGTCGATCATGTGTTTGACCTGCGGGGCCTTGGCGGAGAACAGGATCAGTTTCTCATTGGTCAGGTTGAACTCCAGCATGTTCTTAGATGGAATCGACACAAACAGGATGTCCGAGTAGCTGCAAAGGAAGTGAGATGCAAAAACCAGGAAGTCAACATAAAGTTACACATAAAAAGAAAAGGGGTCTCAGGTCAAATCAATCAGGCACTTCATTGTTTTCTTTTTTAATGGATGTGCCAATAAAAATCTATGAAGGCTTAAAAAGGGACTGACATGACACAAACTATGTCTGAGGCTCACCTGTAAGGCCGCAGGACTCTGAAGTAGTCTGGGGCAGCAGAGCTGCTCCTCACCAGCTTCAGGAGCTTGATGCCTTTATGAGAGACAGACAGCACCTGCACTCCTGTCCCCACACTGCCCTGGAACACACACACACAGACACACACACACACACATAAACACATGAAACTGAGCGCAGGCACACGAGTAAGAGCCTATCAAACCAACTGATGGAAGAAGGCTGCTTTAGGTTTATTATGAACTTTTCAGTTCAACTCACATATGAGAAAGAGACAAGAACTCACAGACGCTGGGAAGAGGCGGGAGAAATAAATGTCCCATGAGTCTTTCGCCATGGCAACCACTTTCTTCTTCACGTTCTCATCATGCGTTCCTGAAACCTGGTCCACCTTGCTCTCAGCTGTCAACCAAAACAGAGAAGGAGTGATCACATTCACATACTGTAAACTTAAAATAGTACATTGTGGTCTATGAGCCATTATACCACAGAGTGAAGTCATTTAGGAATATGTGTTTTGTCATACCAAACAAAGCTTTCATCTTCTGTCTCTCCTCCTGGGTGATGCGGATGCAGGCCTCAGAGAAGGTATCGTGCAAAACCTGCAGAACACATGCACCTTCAGAAAAAAGCATTTCACTAAAGTGGAAATCATTTTTCAGATCGCCTGCTGTGTGAACCTGAGGAAGCTGCAAGCGAAACACGCTGTTCGCTCTTAAATAAATCACAGTAAAGTGATTTCAGAGTGCACTGGTTGATTCAGATTTTTTTACTACATGGTCCTGCAACCTACCAGCACCTGACTGTTGTTGGCAGTGCAGCGGGAGTTTTGTTTACGAGTGACATACCTAATATTATATTAAATTTCTTCCAATATATCCTCTTTAATGTAACACACTGGACCTTTAATACAAAATAAATGGAAAAACAAGAGATTGTAAATAAATAAATAAATAAATCAACCTGTCTGAAGATCAGATCCAGAATCAGTGGATTGTTGAAGGTCTCTCTAGGATAGAACACCTAAAACAACAAAGATCAACAATGGAAATATTTATTTATTTAAAAAGTATAAAACATGAGGATGTTAAAGTATTGTAATGTTGTTAAATGTTCAGTACTAGAAGATCTATAAAGAATATATATGTTTTTCAGTATGTGTTTCAGCAATTTGTTCTAACATTACATTTCAGGGCGATACGGATAATGTGTTTTTGTGCTCAATAAACACACCTCTTTCCTCATGAAGAGTTTCCAGGGGACGTTGGAGTAGGTATAATATTCATCACTGGTCCTGCTGTGGAGTTGAGTCTGAATGATCTCCTCTTCTACTGGCAACTCTCTAGCGACTAGAAACACACACACAGAGTTAGTTTCCAAACACTTTCACATGCAAGTGTGAAATGAGTAATGAACTTTCTGCTGTTTATTACTGGGGATTTATGTCAGATTAGTATGTGAAAAGTTTACCTGGAGGAGGGGCAGGGCTTATGCTGGAGCTGGTTGGCCCTGCAGGGCGAGACTTAATGGTCTTGGAAACCTTAAGTCCTCTCTCTTCTTGATGTTGGGAGGGTTGAGGCTTCTTTAGACTCTGAGATATAAAAAAAAAATTAAACAAATTGTAGTTTAACCCTAACCCTAACCCTAACCTTTGTATGTGTATATGGGTGTGTGTGTGTGTTTGGTGCAAGTGCAGAGTTGGAGTACCGGTTGTGGTGGGTTTGCCATCTGATCTTTAAGGATCTCCATAGCTTCATCATGCGGGTCTGGCTTCTTTGCAAACACCTTTCCATCACCTTTCCTGCACACACACGCACAGGTTAAGAGGCAACTAAGCAGACAGACAAAATACTATCATCAGTACTTAGGTTAGAAAGTCATGAACGTGTTACTTTTGTGTGGCAGGTCCAGTAGAAGGTGTTGTGCCAGCAGGCTGGTGCTGTTTGATAATGTCTTTGATGTCATGGCTGGGGTCCATACGCTCTGTGTTACTCACACTGGATCGGACCACATCCTCAGGAGGGGGTCCACGTGTCGGACCTGGAATGTCATTGTCTATTAGATCATCATTAGATTTAACGGCTGTTGGATTCAATTTCTATTTTTTCTGCACGTCTCATAAAATCACATACCACCCACAAATTAATTCACTCAGTTTGAATAATGTTTCAAAAATAAAATAAAAAACTCACTGTATTCATGGAATTTAAACCACACAACAAATCTGCAGATTTTACCCTGAAAGTGTGAAACATACTCATTTTTCGCTGAACAGCAGCAGGCTTGTACGGCGACTCTTCACTCTCTTTGGCCTGCAGAAAAACAGGGAGTAATACAGCTGAGTTTGTGTTTATTGCAACTATTTCTGATTTGTATACGTGCTGGCAGGTGTATCCATATTCATGTTCATGTAGCGCCAGAGTACAGTGTATGTGTGTGTTTACTCACAGAGCTGGGCGTGTGAGAGTGTTGTGGCAGTGGTGTATGCTGCTGTGAGGGTGGTGACTGGGGGGCGGGGGCAACAGGTGGGAAGGAAGACAACATCTGCTGCTGGATTGCAATGGCCTGCATAGTCATCTGCTGGGCCTGCAACACAAACACATGCAGTATATATTACTTTTATTTCCTATATCACCCATTTACATGAGGTGGCACACGGCATCTGTAAGGTAAGAAAAACATCATAATTCTGATATTCAGGTAATTATACACTGATGAAAACATGATTATAAAAGTTATATTCTCTTTCTCCTAAATGTTACACACTGGACCTTTAAGCTAACTGGCTGTAGCTTAATTGACCTTATATGAGAGTGTCATCAATCTGCTCATCTAACTCTAAGCATGAGAGCTGAGAGTTGTACTTCACAAAATGCTGAGCTATTCCTTGAATACTAGACACACTTGAAGTATAAATTACACCAATAGTAATATCAGATTTGTTCAGAAGAAGGATATTTGACAAACCAGAATGATAGCTTGCTGGTTGATGATAGCCTGTTGCTGTTGAGTGAGTACTGTCTGCTCCGATCCTAGAAATAGACATAGACACCATGTAACTCACTGCAAAGGAGCGAGCAGACTCATCCACTTCAAACAAACCTCACAAAGGAACTTTGCAACCTCACACCAAACGGCAAGATATAAAAAAAGTTTTAAAAAAAATAAATTTGTTGTAACTCCACCAAGCCCACACGCTTCAGGCCAAACATGCGGGACAACCTAATGCACACCCGATTATTATACCTGGCACACCTGCCATCACAGGCAAGCCTGGAACAACAGAAGTGGTAGGGAGTGAGGTCACCCCCGGCAGACCGGGGACACCAGTGACATGGGAAGCTACATTGGCATCAGCTGCGGGGGCTGCAGCAGGTGCACGAGTGGGTGACGGAGTAGGTGCCACACGTGTGGCAGGAGCAGTGGTAGAAGAAGTCTGATGGTGGTAAGGTTGTGGGGGACGGTTGTATTGGTGGTAATGTTGCTGCTGTTCCTGTTGAGGTTGCTGCTGCTGTTGTTGTTGTTGTTGTTGTTGTTGGTGTTGTTCGTGGTGATGGTGGTGGGAGGGGATTGGCATAGCAGGGATGGGTGGCATCATTCCTCCTGCTACTGGAAGCACTGGCACAGCTTGAGAAGCGATAGGCAATGAACAGGGTAAGAGTTAGGAACAGTGCTGCTTCCAGGACTTAGTCTCTGTTAAATGGATGTATTTTCTTCCTGGACAGGCAAGACAGGACAAGCTAATCAGCACTTCACAGTAAGAGTAAAAGAGTTAAAGTAAGTGAAGATGCAAATTGCAGTGTGTAGGAGCAACTAAGGTGGCTGCAAAACCAGCACAAAACGCGATAGGTCCTATATCGAGTCAGATGGCTTGTCCATTCTGGGCTACTGCAGAAAGATGGCGGTTCAACATGGCCGACTCCATGGAAAAGGACCTGCTCCCTCTGTAGATAAAAACGGCTCATTCTAAGGTAACAAAAACACCCTGATTTTTATTTTCAGGTGATTAGACAATAGACACTAATGAAAACATACCTATGAATATAATATTCCTGCCATATTTCACCATATTTCTGCCACCAGAGCCTCCAACATGTAACACACTGGAACTTTAAATATCATATTTGAAAGTTTAGATCCAAAACAACATGTTTTACTACTTAAGTGTTGGTAAACTATCCATCAAACAGTATAGAAGATGCAAAGTGGGGAAACGGGGGAAACTAGCCAGCTTGGCATAGTACAGCAGTAACAAAATCTGCCTAACTCACTAATAAAGAAACTAAAAGGCAGTTGAATTCCTTCATCCCTTTTTCTTCAATGAGGATAGATGCCTTAGATTAGTACTTAGGAGTTCAACGTACTGTCTGATGGATGAGATAAAACTTGACAGTCAGAAGACTGAAAATATACACTGCATATTCTCAAAAAAGAGGTTGAAAGAGGGGAAAAAAGCTTGGCTAGTAGAAAAAAGCTAATACACATTTACAGATGTTTAGAATATTATACATTTGTGAGCGATAGTGAGATGTGAAGTTTACCTACGACTGTAGAGCGCTGACAAAATAGCAAGAAGGAAAGAGATGACGAATAATATGTGTAGTAGAAGAGAGAGAAGGAGAGTGACAGGTGCCTATAGAGGGTAAAGAAGTCATGTGTGGTTACAGTGAATGGCTGTCTATGCATTATCTATGAGGTCAGACTGCCCATTGTGGCCTCTAAGCGACAGATTAAGGTTGGTGAACTGTACATCTGAACTTTTACACTTCAGGCCTGTTCAGTGTCGCTGAGACACTTCAGCGTTCACCCTTAAACAATATGGAAATAATTACAATAATACATACAGTATATTAGTAATGATCATTTGTTGTTAAATCTTTCACCTCCCTTTTTGTTTGTAACTGTGTTTAACACTTTCAATATTTTGCATTTTTATTTCTGCATTTGTCTGTTGTAGTTATTGCTTTTTTTTCTTTTTTTTTCTCGGTTTTTTTACTGGTTGGACCAGATATCATTATCAGCTCTACCCAGGCAAGTTGGAGAAGGTTAAAAACAGAGCATAACATGAAAGACACCTTTTGGGCCAGCTTTTTCCAGCATTCAGGGGAAGCTCTAAAGTGCAGAAAGAGGGCAAAACTCTTTACCAACGTGAGACTAATGACGAGGATTTAGAACCAACTTAGAACAAGCTGAATTATTGATGTCAGTGGGGCGATAAAAAGAGTGAGAGAAAGGCTTGAGTGACAGGACAAAAGAACGGCTAGAAATAATACAAAAATGATCCCAAAAAAATGAAAGACAGAAGAAGAATAAGGAAAGACATAAAACTAAATAAAAAAAATACAAATATAAAGAAAAACTAATGGACAAGTGGCACTAACGCTATACATACAGTAACTAACACAAAACACACTCAGTAACTTCAGTGTTTTACCTCCGGGATGTATTCCTGGTGGATAAGGCCGGCTGGGGGCCGAATGAATGTTCCCCTCTCCTCCTCCTCCTCCTGTGATGCCTATACCTCCTCCTCCCTTCATTCTTGCTGACAAACTTCCAGTCTTTTCCATGTCCTGGTAGCCAGAGAGAAACAGGAAACAGAGATTCAGCGGATGGAAAAGGACGGCTGTAGATGTTGAGAAAGTGGAGGTTGAGAGACATAAAGAGGAGGGTAAGAAGTTTGTGTGGAGACGCTGAGGGAACAAGAATGAGGGAGTGGATTGTATTGGTTGATTCAGACCCTCTGTGAGGGAGTCAGTAGAGCCACAGGAACTGAATACTCCGCAGGAAGTACCGTAGACCATGGAAGAGAAGCTCCAGCACAAGTATAAGAATCTAACTAAATGATCTGCAACATAACGAACCCTATTGCTTCAACACAACAAAACCACATAGATACGTTCCTCGGAAAATGCTTTACTGCTCCGATAAGTCAAAAAATAAAGCTCCAGATACACAAGCTCACAGAAAATCCAAATGAAATGTTCTAATGTTACCACCAACACTCTCTCTTTGACAACCCTAGATAACACCCTAAACATACCTATGCTTTCTTCCTGTTTCCTCCCAAATACGAGGCCTTTTCTTGTTTTCCCGAATACACAAAATGTGACGTTGTTAATGGACAGTAATCCCCACACAGCTGTGCATGCACGCTGCCTGCTGTTATAGTCAAATACGGTGGGTCACACAGTAACCTAATCACCCCTTCTGTCTGCTCCATTCATACATAAACAGAAGCAGTGGATCACATGTTCCACCCGTCCATCAACACTCCCTTCCATTCACACTCAGATCAGATCAGGTGGAGGGAGCGTGACAAGAACATTTTATGCATTTACAACTAAGGAGAATTTCCTTTATGTATAAATCTGCCTGTACCTGTAAATATTGCACTCAAGGCTTTATTCATTAATTTATTAGCTTTAGGAATTTAGTGAAATCAACTGAGCTTTTAAGTTAGAAGTTTTATTCATTTAAAGTGGATCAAACTTAAGCTTTCAAGTTTCCATTTTCAATTTCATAACTTTCCTCTGACTTAAAGTCTTTCAACTCAAAATGATGAGTTGAATGAAAATGCTACTGAGATTTCACGATAATAAATAGGATATAGGATTAGATTAGCACGTTTCCAGCATGCAGTGTTTGAGGTTTAAAACTCTGTGTCTTTAACACATGTTAAAGGCTGCTCTGGTTTCTTCTGATAATAATGAAAACTATGAAAACCATTTGAAGGTGAGTAAATTCAATCCCTACACCAGTTTATGATGTCTTACAGTGTATTTGATGATTAAACAAATTAATTAATTACCTAATCGCTTCAGCATTGATAGGTTTTCTAAATCAGATGGTGTAGATCAGTGTCAGTACTCACTATGCTGCTGTCTGACAGCACAGGGTCAAACAGACTGTCCAGGTAGCGGTCCATTCCTCTCTGAGTCTGACCATCACTGAACGCATCCGACTCTACTGGACACAGACAGACAGCCGAGTTACACTTTACAATCCAACCAGAAACCATTACTATCTAACTTTTGCTGCCATTGTGTTTACTGGTTTTACCTGGTAACTGCATATTATATTACAATAGATGTGTGTGTGTGTGTGTGTACCGTGGCTGTAGTAACCGTCAGAGTCAGGCAGACTGTAGGCTGGTCTGCTGCTGCTGTTTAGAGGAAAGGCAGGAGGAAGCTCTTCATCTGAGTCAAAGCCACTGCCAAACAAAGCACTGAGAGGAGAGGAAAGGAGATAAATAAATGTCTTTGGTGTATCTACATTTCATGTATTTGTGAGTGTTCTGTATACTGACAGGCTGGCATTAGCTCGGACTCGTGCAGGGTCATCAGTGCTGATGATGAAGTAGCTCTTCTGCTTTGGGAATTCATTCGGAAGCTCCAGGTCTGCAATCAGGTCCATCACATAGTCGTGACCCGCTAACTCCACCCACTGGCCGTGCTCCTTCATCAGGACTGAACTCCCCCTCCACCAGTCGGACACTCCCCTACAAGCAAGAACCCACACTTTAAATACCTGCCTGTACATTGCACTCAAGGCATTGTGTACTGTGTGGATGTTTTGCAGTAAAAATAATATTATAATATTATTAGATATCAGCACCTGTGGCGCAGTATGTCCCCTGCTAAATCCTCTCCACTGGTCCAGGAATGGACCGGACACAGGAACGATCCTCCTACAGGGCCAGATGAATGAATAAGGTAAACCGTATCTTTCCATTGTGGTTTTTAAAATCACACCAATTGTTTAGTGTAAATGAGTAAAACGCATAAATTGTGCAATTGAAGGACAGAGAGGCCTGTAGTTCACCTGATCCTGACTGGCAATGAATAATCAATGATCAAGGGCTGTAATTGATCCCCTTCAATAAAAGTGATGCCAGTAGTCCCTGCCACACACATCCCCTTGCTTTGCTTCGAAGCGTGCGCTCATTTAAATTTGAGGTGAGAAAGACTGCTTACATTGTGTTTAGTAAGCCTTTTGTTTTTCTTTGCTAAACTGAAAATAAACTGTAATGGAGAAAATTGAAAGCAGTACATTTTTGAATATGTGTATAGTTGCTGCCCGTGATTTGTTTCCAGTTTTCTGGCATGAAAACCAGGAAGAGCAAAAGAGCAGACAGTTAACTGCGTAATATATTGTTGAATTAATTAATGCAATCTGGCCTTGCAAGACATTAAGACCTTAGCTGTATTCATATCGCTTTTAGCCCATAAAACTACCACTCCTTCATCTGCTGCTGCTTGGCTGGAGTACCTTTCTTGTCAGCGCTTAAGGGAACCAGCCAGATATACTGTATATAAAAAAAAGGCAAGATGCATCTCACCATCAACACAGTGCACGTGCAACACCATGTTGGCCTTCTTCCTATTGGCTGTCCACTCCAGCAGCGACAGAGGATAGGTACGCGCTGTCTCGGGGGCGGAGCCTGAGCCTAGCTGCGTTTTCTGATTGGCTTGGATGAGTCTGTGTTGCAGCAACGCTTGGCAACCAGCAGGGCTGTGGTCCGATACAAACCTGGACACGAAAGGTTAACTGAGGTCACACTTTTTAAAATTTTAAATCACATTTTGTTCCTGTTTTACTTTTTTTTTTTTTACTTTGATTTCTGTACACATCTGTAATAAATTATATCTCACTTCAGTAGATATTTGTCCATCTTGGGCGACGGAGCGAAGCTGCAGACACACGCCAGCAGCAGCAGCCAGCCTCTCTCTGCGTTGTCATAGTTCATGTTCCTCCACACCTGGTTGACAACCTGAGCCAGGATCTCATCCCGTAACCCTGGAGATGACAGGCCCCTCTGGATGATGTAATTCCCAAACATGTTCTCCTGCGCCCCGTTTAGGTGAGGGTCGCCCATGAATCGTAACACCTAAAAGCAAAATGAAGAAAAACATTACAATTACTGTAGTACTGTAGAGCATGGCTCTAAAATACCGCTGCTAAAAGCTGTATTTTATTGATTGAATCATTTGACCGTGAACAGCTTAACACTTTTGTAACATTTAAAAGTTGTTTTATAGAACAACAATGACACAGAACTAGGGACTAGATGATAAATCTGGGCAGAATATGAGGTCCATAGGAAAGTTGAGTTTTTAGAGTCAGCCTACCATGATGAAGAGCTCCAGAGCTTCTCCTTTCAGGTCATCTTCTATACGGGTCAGAGGTGACTCTAGAGGTGCCATCAACATCCCAAACTTTGGTTCCTGTGGCAACAAAAAATTTTTAAATTGTTTTAGGAAGCACATCTACACCACATGTGCATTCAGGGTGCATTAACACAATGGTGTAGTTCTCCCTGACCCCTTGAGTGGGAAAAGAAAAAATCCCAGGGCTTTGTCTGGTAAACTGTAAACTCTCTCTTCGACTTGGCTTCTTGATGTTATAATCTGAGTTTTACAGTTCAGCATTGCATAATTCAATTTCAGGAATAATAATAACAAAGATTACCTTTTTTTCTGATTTACTGAAGTACTGTAGTAAGTGCTGTCATTTTGTGAGTGAGAGGGTCATGTTTTTGTCTGTGTCCTTATAAATCAGTTTCAGTGCGGTGGCATGAAAACAAAAACTGCTTCCCTTTATGACTCAGCGGATATGTTACATTTTTACAGGGCAGTTTTATGAATGCAAATCTAGTCAATAACAACAATTACAGTGGTTATACCATATACAGTAAGCGTGTCACTAGGAGTGAAGCTGATGCACATCTCACCCTGAAGTAGATCTGTACGTATCGGTAGAATGGGTAATTGTTGATGTCCAGAGGCAGAGTGAGCTGACCCTCTTCCTGGATATGAGGAGCTTGAAGCAGAGCCAAACAGTCGGAGTGCAACTCCCTCCTTACTAGAACGAGAGAGAGACCAGCATACATATATTGTAGAATTGTAGGAGCATGGAGTGTTTTAAAGTATGTTTCAACACAAAAACTACCAAAATATTGGAGTTCATCAACTAGACATATATGAATGTGTACTGTGCCACGTTCTATTGCTACTGCTGAAGCTGACCAGACATGATATTTAGGCTTAAAGTGATAAAGATAAGATTTAAATGATAAAAGTGTGCTGTTTCTTTCCCTTGTGATATATTACGCAACTGATTCTACTCACGTCCCAATCTGTCAGGACTATTCAAATTATTTCTGGAGCTGATACTGTCAGTGCTGATGAGATGCAAAGGGCTGAATGAAGTGCTTAGCTATTTGGTTCATAAATAATATGTGGGTGAACATTAATGTGGACTACACAAAAAGGAAGACAGACATTGACAGACCTCCTGCTGTCTGCAGTAAAACTCCCAGCTCTGCAGGGATCACCAAGTGTGTGACATTCACCACCTCCCTCTTGGTCAGCTCCTGAAAGAGTTATTGTTTTGTTTTTTATTTATCTGAAAAGTGACGATTTAGACAGTTTCCCTTGAAAACAGAGTCTAAATTTCCATCATACCATCTCTCTCCTCCTCCTCTCCTCTTCAACTTTCCTCTGGGCTTCAAATTTCATCTGCAAACAGATTACGGAAATCACACACTGAACATTTTCACTTATGTTCCATCCAGTATACGCATGAGGGATTTATGTTGCATCGTCTAGATATGAAAGGAGATATATTGTCATTTGAAAGTGGACTTCATGTACCTTGATGTATCGCTTGCGGTTGACGTACATGTGGACAAGAGATCGAAACCGAACCAGACTCTCTCTCATTTTCACATAGCGCTTCCTGGAGGGCAGAATGAGAATTGGAGCACCATGAAATTTCACATCATCATTGACACCAAGAAACTAAATTATTTTTAATTTGGATAATCACCTGAAGCAATTTGAAATCACAAGTTCATAACCAGTTAAAAACTCCTTATAAAACTATTATTCTTACCATTGATTTAAACTATACCATAATGTACCATCATTTTAAAATCTCTGTTCTATTTAGAATTTAGTCTGTCAGTGTATTGGGGTCCCCCTTCATTTGTTTTTCTCACTACTACAATGGTAAACAATCAAGATAATAAAAGTCTTACATAAATGCTTGCCTGTCAACTGAATCAGGCTTCTCACTTGATGGATGTCCACAAATCTGTTGATAATTTTAAAACCAGCAGTAGCAGAGATGCTGACCTTGTGAGGAAGCCTCTGCATTGTGCCTGCAGCCCGATGATCTTCTTGCGGAAGGCCACGAAGCGTTTCCTGACAAAGAACATGCGGGTGTAACGCTGCAGGGTGAGAGCAGCAAGTTGTCGAGTGCGTTCCCGTTTACACTCCAACAACTGGTAGATGTCCTCCTTCAGAAACAGCTGCCACATGCACACACAGACACGCACACACGTATGAGTCATTTGGAAAATCAAAAACTAAATAAAGTTTGGAGGTAAAGCCCAACATAACAACTGTAATAACAGTCTCACCTTTGTGACTCCAACATGGTAGGCTCCTGGTCTGAGGGGACACAGTTTACTGAGCATTATCACACAGTTCTCTCCATTGGCCTCTGGAGGCTCTCGTATCCCCACCAGGGACTTATACCTGGGAATGACACACAATCACATGCATGTACACACACACACACACACACACAAAAGAATGAAGCGGTCTGCTGCAACAGGTGGCGCTCTATCTTTTTAGGTGTTAGCTATCACTTCCCATGCTAACCACCCACTGCCCTACCTGTGTGTTCAAGTTTGCATTACATGTAGATGCAGATTGTTGACAAATTAAAGGGAAACCCACTATAAAGTGTTTTAGTAAAGTCTTGGACCCCGATAAGCCTGCTTCAATGTTCTTCGGCAGAGATTCAAAACGTTTCTGAACTCTGCTGGGAGGGTGAACATCATTCTTCCAAAAGATATTTCAAAATTTGTTGTTCTGATGGTGGCTCCTATTCATCTTAGTTTTGCGTGTTAGCATACATAAAATGGCTACATCCCCCTATGTATAAAACCTTCTATTTTTCAAAACATTTCTGTTTAAAAAAAGTTTTAGAACTAGGTTTGGGAACAAAGACCACTCGTTGAACTCATCTAATTTCCGCACAAAACGTATTTAAGTATCCATTCACTCTTTTTCTTTTCCCTTCTCACAGTGTTAAATTAAACCTTCATGGTTTCATGACGCAGTGATAGAAAGCCACAGAGAAGCACCGAAATGGCTGCCACCATCCAGTGATGCGTTTATGTTACCTGAACAGGAAGATGTAGAATGGCATTCTGACAGGATACCCCTCCCTACGGATCCTAATGGTCTCTAGGATGCCTGAGTGTCTCAGCTGGCTGCTGACCAGCTCGTCCTCAAACACACCTGGTTGCTAAACGTAGATGAACACGTAAGCACATTCAAAAAACAATGACTGTCATTACCTCCAGGATACAGACTGAACTCATTGCATGCAAGTGATCAGTGTCATCATTAAATCACAGAATGTTTGAAAATCTACCTTCATATTATTTGGCTTAATGCAGCGAACAAAAAAAGGGTTGCACCTGAAATGGAAGAATAAACCATGTGAGCAGTAACATCAGTAACCAACTCATTTTATTTTCTAATGCAAAAAACTTGTCTCTTGGATTGAAAATAACATTCTTGCTTATTATTCATGTGAAATCTGAAAATTGTGCCGGTTTGTGGACATGAATTATTTAGTATATATTTCCAATTCTCTCAGGTTCACCTCTCCATCTTCTCCACTAGCTCTAACAGGGACTGTTGGAACTTGTTGCTGACGGTGGGAGCTTGGTATTTTCTGGTGACTGTGCTGCTCTTCCTCATGTGACCTCTCTGCTGACCTATGACCTCTGCATGAACCAGGAAGAGGTTTGACACCATCTGCACACACAAATACATTCACAGTATTTATACGTACACTGTTTATGTTCACATGAATTAGAATAAACATGATCATACATGCATATGTTAATGTGAAGATGCTCCTCTCACCTTGTTCTTGCTCTGAATGAACAGGTCCAGAACATCCTGACGGACCTGGTCGTAGTTCTTATCGAGAAACTTGTAAACCTGCATCGTCGACATCACAAATTATTACAAGATCAGTCCCAAAAACAACGGGATGGATTGTTGACATTAAATTTGGCTGCGAAATTCATATCCCCCTCAGGATGAATCTGTGATGCCTTAACTTTTCATGCTGCGCCATCGTCACATCAAAGGTTTTATTAGACTCTTATTGTTTAAAGAGTCTACAGCCACGCTAGTCGCTCTGCGAGGTTGTACTTAAGCACAGCAGGGATATTTCACTCATACACACAAATGTGAACCTCATGGTGGCACTTGAGGAAAAGTCATAGGATCATCAAAGTCATTACGATTCAACATGACCATGAATGGAGAATGGCTGTACTCATGGTACAGATCAGCTATCAATAACATTATTGATGTCACTGAATCAGAAACATTCTCCTGCTAACTGACGGGCCAACAGCAGGTTTTGTCATTTCAGATGAGCCAATGAGGCGCTGTGTACCTGGTAGGTGACCCGGCCGGCAAAGTGCTTGATGGTGAACTCTGGGAGGGGCATCTTTGGCTTCAGATACAGCGGATTGTGGCCATGGTGATAGTGACACTTTTGGAGGAAAGTGTGGTCTGTTGCCTGGCAACAAAGCAGAGACATGTACAATAGTTTAATCTGTGGGTAAAACAGATTTATAAGTGACTTCAGGTTTTCCTTAGGTTTCTCCTGCCCCACCTGTGGGAAACAGCTCTGGTCATCCAGAATCCTGAGTATCCCATGAGGCTTAGCAGCAATGACATCAATGCAGGGCTGGTTGTCACTGAATGGGATGTCCTGCCAGGGGATCTGTTCCCGGGTGTACTCTTCCTGAATGGGGATCACACAGATGCACAAATCCATTGTCTATATACAGAGTTAATTAACACAATGGTTCTTTTATTGGTGTCAAGAACCCCCAGATTGATAAACATTTGATGAGATGTAGTCTTAGGGATCCCTGTTCGATAAGATTTAGTTTTTCAGTAGATTTAAGATGGGCAGAAAAAGTTATTGAGTGTGAAACATATGCACAGAAAAGTCATCCTTATTAAATTACTACTACTACTACTTACTTGGCTAACTTCTAGTCAATTTAATAATAGTAAAATTAAAATATCTTTCTGTGGACCCCCCAGAACCATTTTAAGGACCCCAGAGGGTCCCCAGAACTGCTGATGTGACATGTCCTATTATTGTTTCGTTATTATTATGCTTTGTGTTGTGTGGTGGGTGTGGTGTGGTTGTGTTTGGTGTTTGTAAAGTGGCGTAGTTGGTGTGGGTTAAGGTGCGTTATGGTGTGTATGTGTGGGTGGTTGTGTTGTTGTGTGTGGTGTTTGTGGTTTGTTGGTTGTGGGTGTGTGTGAACGTAGCGTTGTGGGACGTTGACTGTCAGCCTGTTCCTCCCTTGAAAATACGATCTTTTGGTTGGGAAGAAAGAAAACTGCGAGGTACGTTTGCCATAAAATTAATTCCAAAAGGCTGCTCCCGAAAGCCTTGTTTGATAAGGCCCAGGATCCTGATTGTTCCCACCACCACCCACAACAATAACAACACACATACATACAAATACACACAACTGGTAATTCTCTATGTCTTATCTACAGGTCTAAAGACTGATTATTGTGGAGTCTCTGAGCTGTGCAACAGGAGGAAGTGACAGACAGCTGATAAGATGCTCATCCATCCTGTATGGAGGAGCGTAAACAAATAAGAAAACTTGCTTACCTCGAATCCATAAATGTCCAGGATAGAGATGGAGAGGGTGTGTTGGCGGGGGTACACCTGAGCGTTGATCCTCTCTGTTAACCAGTGGAAGAGGAGCGAGTACAGGATCTTGGCAAC